GTGTGTGTGTGTGTGTGTGTGTGTGTGTGTGTGTGTGTGTGTGTGTGTGTGTGTGTGTGTGTGTGTGTGTGTGTGTGTGTGTGTGTGTGTGTGTGTGTGTGTGTGTGTGTGTGTGTGTGTGTGTGTGTGTGTGTGTGTGTGTGTGTGTGTGTGTGTGTGTGTGTGTGTGTGTGTGTGTGTGTGTGTGTGTGTGTGTGTGTGTGTGTGTGTGTGTGTGTGTGTGTGTGTGTGTGTGTGTGTGTGTGTGTGTGTGTGTGTGTGTGTGTGTGTGTGTGTGTGTGTGTGTGTGTGTGTGTGTGTGTGTGTGTGTGTGTGTGTGTGTGTGTGTGTGTGTGTGTGTGTGTGTGTGTGTGTGTGTGTGTGTGTGTGTGTGTGTGTGTGTGTGTGTGTGTGTGTGTGTGTGTGTGTGTGTGTGTGTGTGTGTGTGTGTGTGTGTGTGTGTGTGTGTGTGTGTGTGTGTGTGTGTGTGTGTGTGTGTGTGTGTGTGTGTGTGTGTGTGTGTGTGTGTGTGTGTGTGTGTGTGTGTGTGTGTGTGTGTGTGTGTGTGTGTGTGTGTGTGTGTGTGTGTGTGTGTGTGTGTGTGTGTGTGTGTGTGTGTGTGTGTGTGTGTGTGTGTGTGTGTGTGTGTGTGTGTGTGTGTGTGTGTGTGTGTGTGTGTGTGTGTGTGTGTGTGTGTGTGTGTGTGTGTGTGTGTGTGTGTGTGTGTGTGTGTGTGTGTGTGTGTGTGTGTGTGTGTGTGTGTGTGTGTGTGTGTGTGTGTGTGTGTGTGTGTGTGTGTGTGTGTGTGTGTGTGTGTGTGTGTGTGTGTGTGTGTGTGTGTGTGTGTGTGTGTGTGTGTGTGTGTGTGTGTGTGTGTGTGTGTGTGTGTGTGTGTGTGTGTGTGTGTGTGTGTGTGTGTGTGTGTGTGTGTGTGTGTGTGTGTGTGTGTGTGTGTGTGTGTGTGTGTGTGTGTGTGTGTGTGTGTGTGTGTGTGTGTGTGTGTGTGTGTGTGTGTGTGTGTGTGTGTGTGTGTGTGTGTGTGTGTGTGTGTGTGTGTGTGTGTGTGTGTGTGTGTGTGTGTGTGTGTGTGTGTGTGTGTGTGTGTGTGTGTGTGTGTGTGTGTGTGTGTGTGTGTGTGTGTGTGTGTGTGTGTGTGTGTGTGTGTGTGTGTGTGTGTGTGTGTGTGTGTGTGTGTGTGTGTGTGTGTGTGTGTGTGTGTGTGTGTGTGTGTGTGTGTGTGTGTGTGTGTGTGTGTGTGTGTGTGTGTGTGTGTGTGTGTGTGTGTGTGTGTGTGTGTGTGTGTGTGTGTGTGTGTGTGTGTGTGTGTGTGTGTGTGTGTGTGTGTGTGTGTGTGTGTGTGTGTGTGTGTGTGTGTGTGTGTGTGTGTGTGTGTGTGTGTGTGTGTGTGTGTGTGTGTGTGTGTGTGTGTGTGTGTGTGTGTGTGTGTGTGTGTGTGTGTGTGTGTGTGTGTGTGTGTGTGTGTGTGTGTGTGTGTGTGTGTGTGTGTGTGTGTGTGTGTGTGTGTGTGTGTGTGTGTGTGTGTGTGTGTGTGTGTGTGTGTGTGTGTGTGTGTGTGTGTGTGTGTGTGTGTGTGTGTGTGTGTGTGTGTGTGTGTGTGTGTGTGTGTGTGTGTGTGTGTGTGTGTGTGTGTGTGTGTGTGTGTGTGTGTGTGTGTGTGTGTGTGTGTGTGTGTGTGTGTGTGTGTGTGTGTGTGTGTGTGTGTGTGTGTGTGTGTGTGTGTGTGTGTGTGTGTGTGTGTGTGTGTGTGTGTGTGTGTGTGTGTGTGTGTGTGTGTGTGTGTGTGTGTGTGTGTGTGTGTGTGTGTGTGTGTGTGTGTGTGTGTGTGTGTGTGTGTGTGTGTGTGTGTGTGTGTGTGTGTGTGTGTGTGTGTGTGTGTGTGTGTGTGTGTGTGTGTGTGTGTGTGTGTGTGTGTGTGTGTGTGTGTGTGTGTGTGTGCCACTGTCACTTGTCAGGGAGTCCGTGGGCTGTGGCGCGCGTGGGCTGTGGCGTGGGTTTGCAAGTTAGTTACTTTGCATACATGCACCAGGGAGTCGTGAACTGAGACCCTTTCACAACTCCGTTTGCACGTCAACTGTCACGTCACATCAGTTGTCACGACGCCAGTGCAGTGGAACCTTTCACTTTTCAGTGGAGCTCTAGCTCTAGACTAGTACTACTAAGTACTACTACTAGTCTAGAACTAAGTAGAAGCAGCTGGATGGATATACTGTCGGCAGTGGAGCTTTCTGGCAGATGCTAGCTCGCGAGCGATGCACAGACATAAACGTACAAGACTCAGTCATGTAACAATGCCGGTGCATAACGTATGCGCTATTTTTGCGCACCCTGAAAACTGCTTCGCTTCATGATGGATGTGCATAATGCACACTTGGCATGCAAAGACACTAGGTGCACGTCAGCTTAGCAAGCCACTTTCTACCAAGCGACATGCATGCTCTACAACTAAGTTACTTACACGTCATAATCGGTAGACGTAGATCTACGTCCCTAGTACGTGTACTAACGACAAGTGCATACCCCGCGGCCCGGCCCTGATCATGTGGGCTAGCTCAGTACTAGTACACGACTCGTATACATAATACAGTAGCTTCGCAGTGCAGAGGCCCAATCAGAGCCGTCCACGATCAGAGAGCGTTGTCATGAACCCGGCTAGCAGCCAATCAGTGCAAGACACCTACGAATGTCGTGTCGTAATAAATAGGCGATGGGAAGAGACCTGGGCCATGAAAACATTTTCACTTGTTGGAAGGAGTTTGTGGGTCCATTTTTTCGTTCCCTTTTGTTGGAGTTGAATTCTCAGTGACTGCAGCCTGAGATCGCCAGCGTCCAGCGGCACCATGATTGTCCGGGTTGTGCTACTAGCCCTAGCGGTTGCAATTCCCGCTATTGCAGCGGAAGAATCCAAGAGGAACGAAGAATATGGCACCGTTGTTGGAATAGATCTTGGCACTACCTACTCGTGGTAAGACGACGCTCCTGCTTGCTCTATTGTTCCTATAGTATAGTTGACTTGCTAGCTAGGCTTTCAGTGCATGGGTACGCCACGATCGATGCTTTGTAGTGCCGCAAATATTCAGACAACTAAAGCACTTGTCCTGATCTGGTGGTGCAGATTGCAATGTGGCAGTGCATGCGTGCGAAAATAAAATCTTTGTGGCTCACAACAACTACTATGTGAATTTGTTTGAACTGATGCTGCAGTGTCGGCGTGTACAAGAACGGTCGAGTGGAAATCATCGCCAATGACCAGGGTAACCGTATCACTCCTAGTTACGTGGCCTTCACCGGCGAGGGGGAGCGACTGATCGGTGATGCCGCCAAGAACCAGCTGACCTCCAATCCTGAAAACACGATCTTCGACGCCAAGCGTCTGATCGGCCGTACATGGGACGACAGCGCGATCAAGAGCGACGTCAAGTACTGGCCATTCAGTGTGGAGGAGAAGAACAACAAGCCGCATGTGTCCGCTGAAGTTGACGGAAAGAAGAGTTTGTTCGCGCCAGAGGAGATCAGTGCGATGGTCCTGGGGAAGATGAGGGTACGTGCTCTCAGACGCACTACTAGTACTACAAGCTACCAGATATGATTGTACTTCGTGTAACCATGGTCACGTTACTGCTTTGACATTTCCTCAATCTCGTTTCCTGGTTCTAGCATTACATTTTGAATGGTGTACAACTTGAGTGGGATGCATCTGGGTCCTGGAACCTTGGCAGATACATGGACTGTGGCTTGATGCCTACGTATAGCATTTGGAAAACGGCTCACTGCAAACACCACTATAGATAGAATTGATGATGGTTGTACATACATGTAGATCAGGTTTCTGTACTGCGAAGAATCCAAGAAGCTGAACGTACGTGTTTAGGGAATAGATTGTTGACTGGCGGTTGCCATAAATAAGCTGAACGTACGTGTTTAGGGAATAGATTGTTGACTGGCGGTTGCCATAAATGCTGGTGTTTGCTTGCTGTTTTGCTCATCACTGTAGGAAACCGCAGAGGCTTACCTTGGACACAAGGTAACTCACGCCGTTGTCACTGTACCAGCCTACTTCAATGACGCCCAGCGTCAGGCTACAAAGGATGCCGGTACCATCTCTGGACTGACAGTGCTGCGTATCATCAACGAGCCGTACGTCTCTCCCCCCCCCCCCCCCCCCCACACACACCTCTCTCCCTCGACTATAGTTCTGCCGGTTGCCGAAGAACTGGGGGTCAGTCTCGCAGCCTAGACCAATCATATTTTCATGTAGTACAGTCTAGGGACAGTTGAGTCTCCGTGTATACATTGGTATGCTGTGCTTAGTGAATTTCGAGGCTGTTCGTTCTTCAGCGCCCGACAGCACCGTACTGTCATTTATGTGACTTGTCCCCGTGAGTTGACGTTTGCATAGGTTTGGATTCTACTTTGTTTTGCCTGTGTTTGTTTCCCTTGGGTCCTACACTGATTTATTGAGCATGCAGGTCCACTGTAGTTGCTATGGCCTCATTGTATTGTAGAAATTAGAATAGAAGCCAAAAAAAATATTATGAATATAGCCTACTTCAAACACCTCGCGTTTCAAAACTAAAATTTGGTATGAATATAGCCTACTTCAAACACCTCGCGTTTCAAAACTAAAATTTGGTATTCACTCTTGGATATTGTGATTTTTGGGTGAAGTGTGTTGGCTGACCATAGTCCTTGATCTGCTTGGTTTTGTTGCTCCAGAACTGCTGCTGCTATTGCGTATGGCCTTGATAAGAAAGACGGAGAGATGAACATCCTCGTCTTTGATCTTGGCGGTGGAACGTTTGATGTATCCCTTCTGACTATTGATGGAGGTGTGTTCGAAGTGGTTGCAACCAACGGTGACACTCATCTCGGTGGGCAGGACTTTGACAACCGCGTCATGGAGCACTTCATGAAGCTCTACAAGAAGAAGAGGGGCAAGGACATCCGCCGTGACATGCGAGCTGTGCAGAAACTCCGCCGTGAAGTCGAGAAGGCAAAGCGTGCGCTCAGTTCCACCCATCAGACCCGAATTGAGATAGAATCATTCTTCGATGGCGAGGACTTCTCAGAGACTCTGACCCGTGCCCGCTTTGAAGAACTGAACATGGTAAGTAAAGGCTTACTGCCCACACTCGATCCCTTGTTTCCATGCAGGTGGGGGGTGATGGCATGTTTGCTGCTTATTGGCATGAACAATGCATACATTTACATTGAAATGGGGTGTCTATGCTGGCTGTACATACTAGTATATCGTCCTGGCTGTGTAGCTGTCTATGCGGGAAGATACATTGGAGCCTAACAGGATGTGTTTGCCATTTTGTGTGTTCTTTTGCTACAGGACCTGTTCCGCTCCACCGTCAAGCCGGTACAGCAGGTGCTGCAGGATTCTGACCTCGCCAAGTCTGACATTCAGGAGATTGTGCTGGTCGGCGGCTCCACTCGCATCCCCAAAGTGCAGCAGCTTGTGAAGGAGTTCTTCAACGGCAAGGAGCCGTCCCGCGGTATCAACCCGGACGAAGCAGTGGCATACGGTGCTGCTGTCCAAGCCGGTGTACTCAGCGGTGATGCAGACACACAGGATCTTGTCCTGCTCGACGTCAACCCTCTTACTATGGGTATCGAGACAGTCGGCGGCGTAATGACCAAGCTCATCCCGCGCAATACTGTTGTGCCCACCAAGAAGTCGCAGATCTTCTCCACCGCCGCCGACAATCAGCCCACCGTCACCATCCAGGTGTTTGAGGGTGAACGACCCATGACCAAGGACAACCACTTGCTGGGCAAGTTTGACTTGAATGGCATCCCTCCAGCACCTCGTGGTGTACCGCAGATTGAGGTGACATTTGAAATTGACGTGAATGGCATCCTGCGCGTGTCTGCTGAGGACAAGGGCACTGGCAATAAGGAAAAGATCGAGATTACAAACGACCAGAACCGCCTAACACCTGAGGATATCGAGCGCATGGTGAACGACGCCGAGAAGTTTGCCGATGAGGACAAGAAGGTGAAGGAGCGCGTTGAAGCCAAGAATGAGCTGGAGGGCTATGCATACTCACTAAAGAACCAGATCAAGGACAAGGAAAAGCTTGGTGGCAAGCTCAGTGAAGAGGAGAAGGAGACGATCACGGAAGCCACCGACAAGACGATCAGCTGGATGGAAAGCCATGCCGAAGCAACAACGGAAGAGATGCAAGAGCAGAAGAAAGAGCTGGAGGAAATCGTCCAGCCAATCATTTCAAAGCTTTACCAAGGTCAAGGAGGCCCACCTCCCCCAGGCGGTGCAGGACCTGATGGTGCTGGACCCCAGGGTGGTGCCGGCGGTGATGATGACCATGATGAATTATAGTTATCTGAAAAGTTATAAACTTGGTGGCAACAGGCCGTATACCGGTTGTCCCTTTTCAAAAAAACAGTTTGAGCCGACTGATCATCATTCTAGGGTCCATTATATTATTATATTTCTCCTCTATTCCCATTCGTATCATGGTGGGGATGACGCGAAAAAGAACCAGTCATTGGCGTCCCTTCACTGGCTTCAGTCCATGCTGATCTTTGCTGATGAATTCTTTTGTTTTGTAGTGTATGTGCTGCTTGAGAATTCTTTTGCGCCTTCATTCAATATCGATTTTGTGACTGACGGTCTTTGTAGACCGAATTCCCACACATTGTGTTGCAAGCTGAGCGGGTTTGGGTAGTGTCATACATACGCGGGTTTGGGTAGTGTCATACATACGCGGGTTTGGGTAGTGTCATACATACGTGTAAAGATAGTGACGGTCAGGAATGGTACTCTTAGGTGTAGTAAAATTTCGGTGCCAGGAACCTGCCAGGTTTCAGGTGTAATATTATAGAATTAGGTGACCAGCGTTCCCTGCACCCACTGTGCATACTCTAGACTAGTCTAGTGCCTTTTAGGTGTATTATAAATCAAAATTTAGGTGCCTGAATTCTCTACCGAAATTAAATACACCGAAAATAACGTGTTGTACAGTATTGTCTATTGATAGTAAGGGGGGGGGGGGGTAAGCAGTGGCACGTAGTGACGTAACGTCGATTGAATCCATGCCAAGCATATGGCATTATGGGATTTTTCCAGCCTTTGGGCCTAGTTTGGCCTCTAGCTAGCTCTGCTTGGTGGATCTGAATCCCCCCGCCACCACTGTTTAGGATCCGCATCTCACGCCTGATCGATGGGGCGGTGGCGTCTCTAGCTCTAGACTAGTACTAATACATGAGCCAGGGACTACAGAAACCACCCTATGGCACTTTTTGGCGAAAAAAAAATGTTTCTCTCAAAATGTTGGTATGGTATGGTAATGTGCTCAAACAAAATTTCAAGTTGATCTGCAATGGAAAAATGTGCCTAACCACCTATTTAATAATGGCATGTCAATTGAGCGATATAGAGCAAATTTATGTACACAGTTTGTAATAAAATCTTGTAGGACGCATCACGCAGCTTCATAAGTAAAAAATTGGTTGTGAGCAACACTGGCTCACACTCAAATAACTGCTTTTCACCAGAAAAATACTATATTTCAACGTTTCGGTCATGATGATGGTTATTTCATGACCGAAACGTTGAAATATAGTATTTTTCTGGTGAAAAGCAGTTATTTGAGTGTGAGCCAGTGTTGCTCACAACCAATTTTTTACAGTTTGTAATGTTCTTTGTATATCTTCATTCTTGCTAGTTAGGCAGTTCAAATGTATAGTGAACTATGCCCTCAGCTTCACCCAGTGACGCCTGCGCGCCGTCCACTGAATCTCGGTAGTACTGCCGCTCCTCTTGTGCTAGTGATATGTGTGAACGCAGGGCCTGGACACTACATTCCGTCTCTTCCTCTGTACGGGCGACACGAATTTTGTACCCCAGCTTGTCACACAGTGCGCATACGTCTTTCCTTGGCTTCATCACTTTGATGTGTGCTGCCTGTCTCCTCCAAATGTGGCAAAATGACCGGTACTGAACAGGCGAATACTGTGTGACAGTCTTGGTATAGATGTTGTATGCAGACTTCTTGTTCTTGGATGCTGGTAAGTATACTGGAGGGTCCTCAGCACGACCTCGCTCCACTGCATGATGAGGTAGACCGTACGTGTTACCATATGAATAAATACACTGCACTACATCCTGCTCTATGTCTGCTGGAATGGCTAAGTGCTCTGGTGTTCTCCCAGTCAAGCCATGGTGTGCCAGTTGAACGACTCCTTTGTTTGCCTTTTTAATGAAGGCGCTTCATTACATGACTTCCAACAGCATGAACTGCCATGAACACATCTTTGCACAAATCGTAACTACGTACATGATAGCGAAATAGAAAGGTCGATCACCACCACCAGTCATCGACTTTCGCATGCTTCCAGTCAGTGAGCCCAGAACAAACTGCTTGAAGCGCTTTTTAGATTCTCGCAGTTTAGAGACTTCAAACATGTAGTCCTCGAGCTGCTTTGCGATGGGATGACTTTCCAATGATTCGTCGACTTGCATCCACAGCCTCTCTCAATCCCATCGCGTATGTCTGAAGAGACCACGCTTCACCTGCTCCGTCGTCGGTGGCTCAGATGCGAGGGCATCTGGTCCGTCATCTGATTCCGAGTAGTCGGTGTCACTCTTCGCGTTTGAAATTTCCGAGCTGTCGGGGCTTGGCGTTTTCGACACAACACTAGCAGCACTCGAGCTTGCTGTGACTCCATACGTCTTCTTGTTAGGTGGCATATCATCGCCGTCGCTGTCAGCATCGGTGTCGGAATCGCTCGCCGACGACTCGCGGGTGCCAGCGCTGAATCCGTAAAAATTCTCGTCGTCCGATTCAAGCGCCTTCGCATCAGGGACTAGTCGACTCCACACAGAATCGAGCTGCGTCGTTTACTAAAATTAATGTTGTAGCCATAATCAATCACAGTATTTGGAGCCTCTTGAGTTACTCGACAATCGCTCGAGCTCGGAATCCTTCACCGAACACCTAAGTCCTAACAAGAGGACAGCTCTTGAGTCTTGTCAAAATTGTCAAAACAAAAGTGACGAGTTCTGCGATTCGCGTAACTTTGAGTCACGTGACTTTGAAACGTCATAACTTGATTTGATATCAAACGTCGTAGGGCGGTTTCTATAGTCCCTGGCTCACATGTAGTGGGGTTTTGCATTCCGAATTTCGGTTCGGCGTTCTTCGGTCATTTGTCGAACATCAAAATGTCGAATTTTCGCACCAACGTTTGTTTTGCAAGTCGAAAATGATGTGTTTTCATTTCGTGAGCCCCAGCATCAGCAACGTCCTGTCCCGTGCTCCTTTTCTTGCTGATTCCAACGAACTTTGATCGCCCAAAGAGTCGAGGGCCAAACCTGCCTCCTCAGAAAAACCAACTCCATAATACTAATAATATCAGTCAAATGTTATGCGTGTCGCCATAGTCTTTTCAGCCACACAGATGACGGTGAGGACACTCCAGGCGAAAGAGAGTCGACAGGCAGTGGAGAGGAGCAATCAGAGGTAGCTGACGATGCTATGTCGCCAAAGACGCCTGCCAAGCGATGCCGAGATAATAAACCTCTTTGAATAAATTAGTGTTGAAAGGATCTCACCGGGTACTCGTTAGCTCGCTCGCCAGAAACTCGGCTCGTTTGTGCGGCGAGTTCGTTTACACTATTAACGGGCACCGTATACTGCACAGCGTGCACATCACAGTACAGTCTAGTGTTCGAGCGAAAGACACGCTTCCTAATTAGTCATTTCGGAATTTTGTTGCGGTAATGCAGCGAAGAACAAGGCTACTTGCAATCTTTGCAAAATGGTCTATTCTTACAACGGTGGCTCAACAAAGGCGCAGAAAAGACATCTCAACACCAAACACCCGTCCGAAGTGAAGCCAGTCAAAAGCAGCAGCAATCCCAGCGCCAGCGGTGAAATAATTCGAAGCACCTGAAAAAAAAACCATCTTTGTCATATCAGTGAAACTCGTTAACTCGCTCGATAGCTCGCGCTCGTTAGTGGATTCGGCACGCGGGAGCGAGGTCGAAAATGCACACGCAGATTCGGAGTGTTTGTTCGCGAATTCGGAAAAAGCTCACTTTGCCGAAAATATTTTTCTGATGCATTTTCTAGTAGAAGAGCGCTAGCGCGTGATTTATTGAATTAATTTATTCAAAGAGGTTTCTTATCTCGGCATCGCTTGGCAGGCGTTTTTGGCGACATAGCATCGTCAGCTACCTCTGATTGCTCCTCTCCACTGCCTGTCGACTCTCTTTCGCCTGGAGTGTCCTCACCGTCATCTGTGTGGCTGAAAAGATTATGGCGACACGCATAACATTTGACTTGGCCATGGAGTTGGTTTTTCTGAGGCGACTGAGGAGGCAGGTTTGGCCCTCGACTCTTTGGGCGATCAAAGTTCGTTGGAATCAGCAAGAAAAGGAGCACGGGACAGGACGTTGCTGATGCTGGGGCTCACGAAATGAAAACACATCATTTTCGACTTGCAAAACAAACGTTGGTGCGAAAATTCGACATTTTGATGTTCGACAAATGACCGAAGAACGCCGAACCGAAATTCGGAATGCAAAACCTCACTAATAGTGAGGTTTTGCATTCCGAAATTCGGCAAAAAGATTCGGCACGCAAGAGCGAGGTCGAAAATGCACACGAAGATTCGGAGTGTTTGTTCGGAAAAAGCTCACTTTGCCGAAAATATTTTTCGGATGAATTTTCTGTAGAAGAGCGCTAGCGCGTGATTTATTCAAAGAGATTTCTTATCTCGGCATCGCTTCACAGGCGTCTTTGGCGACATCAGCGTCGTCAGCTACCTCTGATTGCTCCTCCACTGCTTGTCTACTCTCTTTCGCCTGGAGTGTCCTCACCGTCATCTGTGTAGCTGAAAAGACTATGGCGATACTCATAAAATTTGACTTGGCCATGGAGGTGGTTTTTCTGAGGCGACTGAGGAGACATGTTTGGCCCTCGGCTCTTAGGGCGATCAAAGTTCGTTGGAATCAGCAAGAATAGGAGCACGGGAGAGAACGTTGCTGATGCTAGGGCTCACGAAATGAAAACATCATTTTCGACTTGCAAAACAAACGTTGGTGCGAAAATTCGACATTTTGATGTTCGACAAATGACCGAAGAGCGCCGAACCGAAATTCGGAATGCAAAACCTCACTATTAATAAAATTCGACGGGTTCGCGTACCTACCGGGCAGTTACAGGTCAACAACAAGGAGTCGTACAACTCCCTGGTCAAGGACCACCTTTCCGCTTCCGTGGGACGCCACCACCCCATGATCAGGCGTCAGATGCGGCTCCTAAACGGCGAGGGAGGATAGATCAGATCCACCAACCAGAGGCCAAAGGCAAAGGCCTCAATCCCATTTGCCACATCCATGTATTACTCATGCCAGGCCACGAGTTCCCAGTTTACTGTGGCCATGTGGGTCGCAGCACGGTGGCGTCTCAAGGAAAAGGAAAGGCCGTGGTAGTGTTCTTGGAAATAGTTCACATCGCGCTAGCTCCCATTATTCAAAACAAAGAGCAAAAGTTCTGAAACTGCTTTTGTGTACAGTAATGTAGCTTATAAATAGCAGGCTGTACCAGAGCCAAACATGCAGTCTACACTGTGACCCAATTGCAATGTACTAGTAATGGTTGTAGTCCACAACGAAGGCATAGCCAAAGATACAAATAATTATCAGTGTTGCAAAAAAATTAAAAGAATATGAAAGAGATCCACTGCTTTGAGAGAAAGATGCAAATGGATATAATAAAAAGAGAATTCGGTACACCAACTTTTGGTGACTGCAGCGTTATAATTATTTCGTTTTCTGTCATTTTCCGAAGTTGGCGAACTGTTTAATCGCTTTTTAAGAGTCGAAAGTATATTTTTTGGAAAAAAAACCAATCACTACCTATTCACTAGTAATCCTGAGAACATAGATAAGTCAGCCCCGGGAACACACCACGGAAACAACACAGACACGCCCGTGCAGAATGGCCTCAAGGGCACAGCAAACTGCTCTACTTCAATGCTTTAAAAAGGCTAGGAGTCTTCTGGCAATGGACAGCTAGAAAATCTTGTTCCTCAAATTGTATCAACATAGCCTAAGATTGGCTGAGTACCCTTCCAAAGTTTCCCGCCCAAGCAGCACGCAACTCAGCAGCGGTCTGAGTAACAGCCGCTCTCATCTGCAATGGCGACGGAATTTACGAAAGGATTTAATGCAACAGGCCGCTCAACAATCGTAGCAGCAGCTGTTGACTTTTCATGTATTGCATTGTTGTCATGTCTTATTGTGTGCAAATCACTCCGCTGTATTCTTGCATTTGTCACTAAGGAAGGCGAGCTGGGTTGAGTATGAGAGTCGCTCCAGGAAAGGGTAGATGATCCTTGGTGGTCTGGTTCTCCAGAGATGACACTGGCTGACGCACACTCGGCACTGCGTGATGGATGCTGACCACTGTATGGCGGACACCCCGCACTGTGTGTTGCAACCTCGGCAGTGTCTGACGGGCTTTCAG